CCCCCCCCCGACGACCGACAGAACTGTAAAAACAGCAACTAGCAAAGCCCCAGAACGAGGAAATAAAATGGGAGTTTTTCTTTCTTAGGCGTGCCTATTAAAGAGCGCTCCAAGTTTCACTCGGATGAATGAACTTTTACTTTCAGTTGGTCCGATTTCAAAGGGAAAGAGAAATCGCTTGATGTTTTTGGTTTGTTTTGATTTCAGTTCGTCAGTTTTGCAAAAAAAAAAAAAAAAAAAAGTGAAATCTCTTTTAAGTTCTTCGATCAGAACTTTTCTCCCGTCTTCGTCCTCTTCTAAAGCCCCCCCCAAATAACCCGCCGCATCCCTAGAACGAAAAGAGATGGAAGGACGCGAGTTTTTCCCCCTTTTCACACATCCAATCACGATAGTTGGATAAAGGGCAAATACCTTTTTTTTTTTTTCTTTCCCCCTGGACTTTAGCCTTTCGTTTACCCCACTCTTTCCCGGCATCTCGCTCGCTCCCTACCTGCTCACTCCGGTTCTTCTACGCGCCTTCCTCCTTCGCAGCAAAGAACTACACAGAAAGTGAAACGGCGAACGCAAGGGAGTGCGGACTCGCAATCGTGAGAGTGGGCTTTACGAAACGCGTGTTGTCGGGACTCCAGGCAAAGCAGAATAGGTGCCGCCGCCGCCGCCGCCGTTCCCCGATCCTGGCTGGCAGCGATGATCGCCGCCGCGACTCCCTGGCTCTGAGCGCCTCCTCGAACCTCTGGCTCCCCGCGCGGTTGCATCACCCCCTTTATATAGCCAGCGGGCAGCGCTGTTATTTACCCTGGCCGCGAGTCGAAGGTGATGTCATGCCAAGACTCCTTAGCGGGAGAGCGGGACAGGAGGGGTGGAGCCAGGGCTGCGGGGGCGGGGCCTCCGAGTGACGCAAGGCCTTCCCCGCTCCCCGGGAGAGGGAAGCTCCGCTCTGCCTCGGAAGCCGCCGGCCAGAAGGGAACACCCTTCGTGCCCGAAGGGGTCGCTCGCGAGGCGACGGCTCCAGATCGCCGGCGTCTCTCCGCAAAGCGGGACCGCGGAGGATTTGGGGAGGCGGGCGGCGGTGACCCCGGAGGGGCGGGGGGTCGTCGCGGTCTTCCTCAATTAGGCGACCGAAAGGAAGTCCCGGAGAGGATGCGTTGCCATTTTGCTCCTTAAAAGGGCTGGGGGGGGTGACGGTGGCTTCTTCCTCTGAGGTCTCCGGCGCGCCAGGCTGGGTATTTGCGCGCGAGAGGAAGATTAAGATGAGTTTGCTGGTCATCTCCACCGCCTTATCCGTTCATAAGGCATCTACGTTCTTCTGATTCGCCGGCTTTCGTATTGGGTTGTGTAATAAGACCGTACACCTGAGTCATTCCAAGCCACACTTTTCAGGTATAACTTACCACGAGTCTCACACACGCAGACCCATCCCTGCCCTAAGGAAATGGCTTGTGGAAGCAGCAGAGGTCAGAAATTGGAATCAGAGGGACAACTGAGTGGAAAGGAGTGCGCGGTATAATATCCACTCTAAAGCTACCATCGGCCAAAGTGTTAAAATAATGCAATTTTAAAGTCCCCGCATCTCTCTTTTTATCCAGATTCGATTGTCCGCCCCCCACCACCCAATTCTTTCCATTGATCTTCCCATTTGACTTTCCTACCATATGAAAATGCTCTTCCCCATGTACCTCCTTTTTAATGCAGCCTCTCAGTCTTGCCTGGTTTTATTATGAACAACAACAACAACAACAACAAAAAACACAAACGGTTAAACCTGCCTTTGAGTCCTGGTAAAAGAGAAGACTGCTGCCGGATCCTTTCAACGTACGTTCATAAAGTCCCACAATTGTAACGGGACTCTCAGGCTCGCATTGCCGCAAAAACCTCGCGCACCATTCTTAAAAGAAAAGCCATTATCTCCGTGTGGATGAATATCAATCCCTGTCTTGGTCCAGCCCCGATTAATTCTGAAAACAAAATTCTCGTCTGAGAATACCTGAGCGACCCGTTTTGAATACCACGTGGACATGACAACCACCCCCTCTCACACTCATACACTTTCAAAGAAGTTTCCACCCAACTACTGGAGCAGGGGTAGTCAACCTTGGCTCTTTTATGACTCGTGGACTTCAATTCCCAGAATTCCTGAGCCAGCTTAGCTGGCTCAGGAATTCTGGGAGTTGAAGTCCACGAGTCATAAAAGAGCCAAGGTTGACTACCCCTGTACTGGAGGTTGGGAGAGCGACAAGGAAGATAATTTCGATTCTTTTCCTCCCCATTTTCTTGCACCACCACGAGAATAAACGAGAATGTAAGTTAGCTGGAAGCGATGAGCTGTCGTATTTCCGTGGGAGTGGAGGAAAGGGCGCGTGCAGGTCAAAACGTACCTCGTGGAAACTCTTGCAAAAAGCGCTGAGCATGTTTTGGGGTTTCCTTTCTTCTCTTTCCTCGTTAGTTGGCTGCCCTCAACTCGAATGCAGTTATTTCTGGGTAACTCTGCTTCAAAAATGAGAAGAGCATTTTCCCAGGACCCCATATTTTATTTACGAAGCGGGTACCATTAGCTAGTCTTCCACTGAGTTAAATGAAGCCTCGGACTTGCCATGCACCTTTCCCAGAGGATAAATTCGGAGAGGCCTCAGCTGAAGCTCTCTAAAGGCATGAGGGCTGGCTCCAAATATTAATCATACACAAGAGGAGACCCTTTCAAATGAAAGAAATGTAA